GCGCCCAAACATTTTCACTCAGAGGTGTGCTTACAAATGGGGCACTTGGGATCAGGGCTGATCGCTCCATTCCCACGTACCCCATTTGCAAGCTGACAAAGCTTCCAGTCTCCCTTTGGAGAAAAAGTGTGTGGCGTGTCTGGATTGCCTGCCTTCCCCTGCCTCTACCTCCACGCTCGGACTTATCTGCACTGTGCCAAGGGGCCAGTGGGCTGTGGTTGCTGCTAGATATCTTCAGCTCCCACATGCTTATTTTTGGGATAGGGCTTATATTAGGCCCACCCCAAAAAATCAGACTAGGGCTTGTTTTGGGGGAGGGTCTTATTTTTGGGGAAACACACTAATATCATCAGTGATATTTGGGTAATGAAATGTCAGCAAAAAAACTCAAGAGCATCAAGGACTTTTCATTTCAACCCTGAGCTACAAATATTCTCCTTTATTAGAAAAACAAACAAGCAGCTCAATTTTTTTTTTCACAGCAATTTGAAATTATGGAATTTTTTTCAGGGATGCATATTGATCTAGAATCTTAAAAGTGATGTGATTATTTTCAGATTCCCAGATTATCTCTGGATTATTGAAATGATGTACATGAAGTGACATAAATATGGACTGTATGTTAACATTAGTATGTGTCTTCCAATATAAGAACTTTTAAGGCCTGGTGGTACAGTGGTTAGAATACAGTACTGCAGCTTAATTCTGCTGACTGTCAGCTGCTAGCAATTTGATCCTCACCGGATCAAGGTTGAGTCAGCCTTCCATCTTTCCAAGATCAGTAAAATGAGGACCCAGATTGTTGGGGGCAATATGCTGACTCTGTAAACTGCTTAGAGAGGGCTGTGAAAGCACTGTGAAGCGGTATATAAGTCTAAGTGCTATTGCTACTGCTATTTAGGGTATCCTTTAAAACTATGAAGTATGAAGATTTAAGATGGATAAAAAGAAATACTTCTTTATGTAATATATAAACTGTGGAATTTTCAGCCATCAGTTTAGGTAATTTAGGTAATAGCTAATTTAGAAAGTTTTAAAAGGTGAATTAATGGAAGATTGGCTTTTGATTTTTTTTTTGCCTCTGAAATCACATGGACCATACTTTAAATACTAAAGGAAGATCCATAACTCTCTGTGTTACCTAATGCAGCTGGTTAGGTCCTGGGACATACCAAATGTTGGGATTAAATGATTCATTGGCCTAATTAATTATATTCTTGGTATAATTATATATTATTTAGAAAATATAATAATAATAATAATATTAATACTTTTATATTTATTACCGTATATGCTAGCGTATAAGATGACTTCCGGAAGTGCTAAAATCGGCGCCAAAGACGGGGGTCGTCTTATACGCCGGGTTGCCTAATACGCCGGCATATACGGTATATTTTATTATCTTGAACGGCTTTCACACTTCCTTCTACAAATTTTTGCATTGTAACACATTATCAAGAACAAAATGAAAAATCTGAGACTTGATAAATATTTCAAAGTTGCATTTATTTCTTGTTTTGGATTATGTATCAAGTTAATCTTGAATCTTTGCAACCACATAGAAAGACCCAGGTCTCCTAACAATATATCTATTTGCTGCAACTGAGTCCATCTACCTTGCTGTTGGTCCTCTTCTTCTCTTTCCTTTCACCATTCTGAACATTATAGAAAAGAGAGTTGGGCCTTTACATAATAGAGCCAAAATACAACAATCTGAGCCTGTCACTTGTGCCTCAACAAGGAATGCTAGAAAGGCAGAAGCTATTCATTGTTAAATCTAAGATTGTTTGCTGTACTTGTCATTAGTTTACTCTTCATTTTATTTAACTTTAGTCCCATTTTTCATTATGATTCTTAATTTTCATTACTAGAACTTGCACATCATTTGCTTTTTCAGCTCTGAGACTAGTGACATCAGCAGAGCTTAGATTATTAACACTTCCTCCAGTGTTAATTTGAATAAGTAAGCAGGCCTCACACAGCTTTATTTCACTCCTTTGCTGACTTGGAGCTAGTCTATTCACCGTGTTCCAAATGGGCTGTGGAGTTCAAGTTCTTCCTGAATTGGACTATACTACTTCAAAATAGCCCTATCAACATCCTTCCCTGCAAAATGCTTAAAAACCCACCACTTTAGCCATCTGTTAAAACTTGCCTCCCCCTGGGCTCGGTCCCATTCCATATTTTTAAAAAGGTAACATTTGAAGCCAAAGAAATGTACTGAGTTTTTTAACATGCTCCATATTAAAACTGTAAGAAATGCATAGGGCATAATTGTAGCAACAATTTCTGGCTTCTTAATTGGTGAGTGCAAGTGGGTGACTGAAGTCTACCCCTTTTTACATGCATACAACGGATGTGATGTACATGTAGATGTCCCTACACAGCACCATTCTGACCTCATTACTGCAGCATTTTCAAAGCAACATAGCTGTGACAAAGATGGTGTTAGAATTCTCAAAACTCTAGCTTGTACTTTCTACTCATTCTATCCAAATTGCACCCAAGACTCACATTTTTATGGGGGACACAATGGGGGAGAGGACAGCATCAGTCTCAGATCAGTGAAGACACCTGTGGAAGGAAGTGGAGGAGGGATGCAACTGGAAATAGCAACATAACTCCAGGCTGCAAACTTGCCTGAAAAGCTGCACTGGGTGTGAAGCATTTGATTCCTAGGGGAACTATAAAGTGCTTTCTTAGATCTGTTAAATAGCTGGTCAGAAAGTTTGAAATTGAAGGGAAATCTCACCATCAAGTCAGGTGTCCTACTTATACAATAAAATAATACAGAATTGTTATGTAATAATTACAACTTGCTCCTTGTTTTTCCTTCCAGCTCTCCCCTCCTGAAAATTAGGGCAGCTTTCAAAAAACCGATGTCCCTTTGACAACATAATTATCAGCATTTTTAGAACCAAACCGTGGATTAAAAAGCCTCTTTAATTCATAACAGAAAACAGGGCGAGAGAGAGATACCGCAAGACGCCTTCTCCTCTACAAGCAACTAGATATGCTCCCTCTTCATCTGTTTTGGCGGATAGAAGCTGCTTTCGTGGTAAACCCCGCCACGAGGATAATGAATAGCTCCTCCCATAACCAAGACCGTAGGCAGTTTGGATTTGGGCGCTGCTTAATCCCTTTCGATCCCGGAGCCCTTGAAAAGGCGTATTGTTACTTTTTCCGTGCATGGCCCTGCCTTGTCGAACTGAAGCGCATTTCTTCTCCGAACAGCCTGAAGAACGTGGGGCACAATTGTTGTCTCCCTGCCTGCCTTTTATTTATGCAGAGGGTTTCTAACCAGTAGTCTTTAAATTAGAAACACAAAACGAGCTGGAGACCGACAAGATGCCTCCCTTACTACTTCCTCCCTTTTCTATAATGATAAGCGAGGGGGGAGCGGGGGAAAAGAGAGATGAGGTTGGAATAAGCAAGCAGGGAGGTCTGGCAGCGTGACGTTGCTCACAGCTACCAATCAGATCGAAAGTAACCCTTCTGCTCCACCCCTCGCTAGAATTTATGCCGCTGTCCTTTTCCAGGGCTAGCGGACTCTACCGATGCAAGGCGTGATGTAGGTCATATGGTGGGATTTATTGCAATTTAGGGGTAGCCGGTTCGAGAATATTTAGCTTCATTAGTTATTGTCTCCAGGCGAAACTGAACTTTACCTCACCATTTTGACGGCTTTATGTCAGATGGGCCATCATGACAGCGTGAATTAAATATAATATTACCTCCCATACACTTTGCTCGCTTGATATAGTCTAGCCCTGTTTTCAGGCGCAAAGCGATCCCCGCTCTATTGACTTTAGGAAACAACACAGCATTTTAAATAAACGAGGCATGGAAGTTCCTTAAAGAATGTTGGCGAATCAAAATATTTTTTTTTTGCTTCTATTATTTATGATTGAAGGTGTGATCGATCTGTCATTCCTGACATTCCTCGTTTCTATCATATAAACATTAAAGGAAACGTTAGTTTTTAGCCAGTTTTATTATGATTTAGATTTTAGCGTTCGCTGCAGAATGATCAGGGTGAATATACCTGAAGATTTTTTCCAAGTGGTCTACAGCTGAACCTTGAAACTGCACATTCGTGGCACGTTCTAAGTGATTTCGCACCTCTTCGTAGTTATCTGAGGATAAATTATATAAAATCCATGGGATTTACTTGTTTTCTGCTACATTATCGCTGGAAATAACTTCTTGGATTGATAACATAGTCCCAACATTTTAATTTGTGCCGAGACGCTCAAAAACAAGAGTGGTTCGGTGCTGATTACGGTGAGTAAAATATGAATAGCGAGACTTTTTAAAATGTTATTTCCAGCTATCCAATATGAAAGAATTTAAGCAACACATGTTTATTAATTTAAAGTAGAACTTTGGGGTTTGCTTCGCTCTCATTCCTTGAATTTCTATTAGCTGTACGGTAGCTCACTCATGACAGATTTCCGCCCCTCTTGTTTTATTCCAACTTAGTGATTCGCATATTAATTAATCACCTCCTTGCTGTGTGCCTCGGTTTCTACGATCTGCCTCTAGTCTAGAAGCAAGGAAGTTAGGGAGATTTAGACGTATCAGTGCCCTCGTAATAAGAAGGGATGAAGGCAAAATTTTGCGATCGTGCAGCTTCACAGAAGCGGACGGCTAATTTCAGATAACACTGAGAAAGAGAACGAAGGGCTTCAGAAAAGGAGCTGCTCGGTAGTGCTGGGGAAAACCCCTCACTTCCCAATGAATGGCGCCAGGGCTTTTAATTGACAGCATCGCGAAAACTTCCTTCCGTCCCATCAGCATCTTCGCTCCCCTTCCCAACAGGCCACTGGGGAAAACCCCCTCTTGTTGAGCTTTCCGGATCCGTCTTTCTCAGCGTCCGCTCCACCTGCAGCAAGTCGGTTGTTTCAAAGCGACACGCGGCTGAGCGGCCAGATTCCCCTGCCGCTGATCGGGGGGGGGGGGGACGGCACTGGGAGAGAGAGGGGGGGGGGACGGCTGAAGATACCGAGCGCTCTGGCGCGTTAGTTCCAGGATTACGCCTGCAGGCATGGACAACGCCTCTAGATTGGGCAGCCAGGCGAAGAAGCGTCGCGGCCGCTGGCGACTCTAGAACGGGCTATTCTGGCTCCTTTTACGGGGATCTGGCACTGCTGAAAAGGGAATCGTAGCAGCTTTGGCTTCTCTCCTTTCTCTTCCTCCTCCACCAGCTGGAGCTTTGTTCTTTTTCGTGTTTGGATGTGCGCAGCGAAATATTCCGACCCCTCCGCCGTAATTCGGGTCTCTGAAAAAGCCATCCTTTCCTAGTTTTGAGATCTCCACAGACCGCAAGCGGATTCTCGCCCAGAGTGCCACCTGAGCCTCCATGCATTGGCTGCTCGTCTCCGAAGCAAAAGGATGGCTGCTTTTTCCGAAGCTTCCTTTAACTGAGCGGATGGGAAATATTTGGGAAAGAAGTTTCCTGAGGTGATTTGGAGGAGTTAAAAGTCCGCCGTTTTCAGCAAGAGGCAGCAGTCAGTAAAGTAAGTACTTCTGGTTATATTGTTACTAGGGGAAGCCCTGCCCTGTGTAGCGCATTTTGGTTTTGAAATGAATTTGGTTCTCTTGAGAGTGGAAAGAGATGGGAAGGCTCTGCCCCTGCATTAAACGCAGCCCATACATTTTGAGTGATCCTGGTCTTCGTTTGTAAAGTCTTTGATGCAATAAATGTGTTGTCCAGCTGAAAAGCAGATTATAGGTGCTTATGTTTCATTACCTTAACGTTGCCTGGAGAAACCAAGGTGCTCTAAAGGTGCAGAGGTGTGTGCTCCACACTTACCATTCATTAGGGAAGGAGACAAATCTACTGCAAATTAGACCAAACTCGGCACACGTGCAGCATTTGCTAAAATTCTCTTCTGCAGCTTTTCTTTTCTCTTAAATTCACATAGGCCAATTCTAATTGCCACTTTCTGTTGTCCTCATGGGCCAGCTCTGGTATGTCTGTCCATGTCTCTGGCATGCTCCCACATCAGGCCTTTGGTGCACACCTGCTCTGAGTGCATCGACTCTGTCTTTTCCATCATCTGGCCACAACATAATGGCCAACCAATGTACTAATGTAGCTGCTCCCAGTCTCTATTTGTAAACATCCATGCACATAAATGTCACCCTATTTCTTCCACAAGTGTCAGAAGCCTACCATTGTTTTCAGTCTATGCAACCACATGGCAATGTATGTTATTGCAGTTAACCTGCTCCTATATTTTTTTTATTGCAGTCTTTGATGTGGTATCATGAAAAGGTTTCACCAGGGACTGCTGCTCCCCTTGATCATGTGGTTGGTCAGTTTCTGAAGCCAACCCTCCTCCTTTGGGTTTCACATATGCCATGTCTGCTAGGACTGGGGCCTACAGTGGGCCTAGGAAATTGAGATCTTCTTAGAGCTGGTTATAGATTCAGATAAAGAGGTATTCATTGTGAATAACACCTCTCTAACCCCTGCAGCTGCATATTGCCACATTGGTCATGGTCTAGGGCAGTTGTCCTTAAATTATTTGACCCAATTTCCTCTTTTCTGGTCTGAAATAATGTCATTATCCTTCTTCCTCCAAGTCTCTTGCTTTACACAAGCATCTCTGCAGCAGCTATCCCCACTTGGATCCTCAACTCACAAATGAGCAATTGCAAATTGTACTTTTATCTCAGAATGTGTCTAGACAATCCCCTCAAGAGTAATTTTCTCCTAGGAAAAGAACCACTGTTCAAGGGAGAAAGGGCTTTGAATGGACATTGTTGTTCATCTGTACCATGGATTGACCAGGGTCTTGTCAAGCTCTTATTCCAGTATGTGGAGACAATGTGCTTCTGGATGGGGAATGTCAGGGTCAGGTTCAACTCTGACATGATTTAATATTTGGGTCTGGACATTCTCAATCTTTGCTCCTGATTAGGGTTGCAGTTTCCCTTCAGTTTGATATCTTCAAGAGCAGGTTCCAGCTGTGTATAAACTGATCTAGTGTCATTTGCACCATGTCTGACCAGAAGTCTCTTATAATGGTCACTCATGCTTTGGTCACCTCTCCTTGAACTACTAAGTATCTTTCTATACAAAGTTACCCTTGAAGACCACTGGGGAGATTTAACTGATCCAGAACACAATGGCACAGACAGTTATGGACATGTCAGAGCAAACCCACTGCTTTGTGAGTTGTATCAGTTACCAGTAGGATTCTGAGTGTAATTCAAGAAATTGATTATCATCTATAAAATCCCTTATGCGAAAGGGCCTAGTTACTTGATAGAATATCTTCCATAATTGTTGCTCATTCTATACAAACTGGAAAGTTGGCTTACTCTAGGACAGGGATAGGCAACCTTGGCTGTTTTATGACTCGTGGACTTCAACTTCCAGAATTTCTGAGCCAGCTGGCTCAGGAATTCTGGGAATTGAAGTCCATGAGTCATAAAACAGCCAAGGTTGCCTACCTCTGCTCTAGGATCAGTTGATCAAATAATGTCACCTCATTGACTTAGGAGATGAGCTTTTTTTGTTGTTGCACTTGCCTTCTGGGAGGACATTTACCAGAAATCTGTTTAGTGCCCACTCTCAACTTATTTAAACTAATGCTTAAACTCTGTTCGTCCCCTGAAGCTTAGCAGAGAGTGGATGGTGGGCCCATTGATGGATGATTCCTCATTTGGATTGTATTGTTTTTTCTGGATGTCAGAAGGGGGAGACTATTGCATGTCATTGCTTTCTATTGTATGATGTCAGAGTTGCAATGGAATTGGGTGGTTTGTAAATCTAATGAAGTATAATAGGCTGATTATAGAATTTTACAGGTTTTACAGTTTGCATGCGACTTTTAGTTTCAGGTCATAGGAGAAGCCAGGTTCAAGTGGTTGTCCTAAGGTCACATTCTGTGAAACTGGGGAATATCTAGGGAAATATTGAAAAAAGACACTTGGGAAAGATGGTTTTACAGTGAGGAAGATAGCAATGAACTCTGCAAGAGTGGCCCCAGTTAACTTTTTATGTCATAAGTTGGTGTTTTGGTTTCACTTACCATTCTCAACTCTTCTTGGAAGCAGAAGGAGGGAAAAGCCATCTGTTGCCCTTATAAAGAAGTAATCACTGTTGAATTGTCAGAGATATGCCTGTAAATCTTAGGAACATAGAATTATGGATGGCCTGAAGTAAGAATGTAAAAAAAGCACCAAAGAGCTAAGTACAGGGAAAGCATAGGTTAATTTCTTAGGTGACTTGATGAATGAACAGTCAACTGACAAATGGCAGAATAATCAACTATGGCTAATCTCCCAAAAGCTAAGAAGGCTTAGACTTTTAATATGGATATTTATTATATAAACAATAAACAGAAGACCACCAGAAACATCTCAAAACATTAGAACAGATTGGGAATTATAAACAACAGTTAACAGAATAATCAGTGGCAGGACCAGTTGCATATTGCTACCAATGAAACTGTATAGACAACATATTGAGTTTCATAGAATCATAGGATTGGAGTCCAACCTTCTGCCCAAGACAGGAGTCATTACACCAGCCCAAGCAAATACTGTAGTTGTTCAATGTTTTCTTAAAAACCTTCAGCAATGGAATGCCCACAACTCCAGGAGGCAAGGTGTTCCACTGTTTAATAGTTCTCACTGTCAGGAGGCTCCCTCTTATTTTCAGGTTGAATCTGATGAACATCCACCCACTACTTCTTGTCCTGCCCTCAGGTGCAACGGAAAATAAATTGATGCACTCTTTCCTGTGGCAACCCTTCAAGTATTAGAAGGCTGCTAGCATATCTCAGTCAGTCTTCTCTTTCTTAAACTAAACATTCCTAGTACCTTTAGCTGTTTTTCATAGAATGTAGCCTCCAGACCCATTATCATCTTTGTTGCTCTTCTCTGCACTTTTTCTAGAGCTGTTTTTTGTATTGTGGTGACCAGAACTGGATATAGTATTCCAAATGTGGCTTCATCTTTGAGGTATAGAGCGGTACTATCACATACCTTGATCTTTGTATTATCCTTCTGTTGATGCAGCCCAAGTCTCCACTGGCTTTTTTGATGACTGCAACACATTTGATTCCAGGGAATCTTTTTCTTTTTGAAAAGATGTATGAATTGCCATGTACAGAAATATGTTATGTAGATAATTCTAAAAATATAATAAGTTTGCAAGAAGTTATTGCCTGGTAGTGATGCATCCATAATGGCTGCCTAGTAGCCAATGGAATTAGTTGTACAAATGTATATTAAGGTACATCAATTAGAATTTGAATCTAAATTTACAATATTGAGATATTGGAATGAATCTGTACTTGTTCCTTATAGTGACCAAAACTCTTGCTAGTTTTCCTATTACTTAATTGTTCTCTAGAGGCTTAAATTGAATACAGTCTGCCTCTGAACTAGCTGTACATACTTATCATAGTATTTCTCCATATTGTGGCAGTGAGTCAGTCTTTCACTAAAGTATGTACAGTAGAACAGTGAGCATATGTGGAACTTGGGGTTTGTTTAAAATATGTCAGAATACTACATGTGGATTACTAGATACGTCTATAGGATATGGTCAAGAAAGTCAAGATAACTACTATGATGGTGTGATGGAAACTCTGCCTGTTTTTTTTTTTAATGCGCAGCTCATGTGCATAGAACAAGAACTTATGAATTATATCAGAAAAAAATCATTTTAAAATGTAAAAGTTTTGCTGATGACATTTAACAATATAATACTTTCACAGAAGATCTTTTGTAGAATTATATTCAAGGTTTATTAAGATAATATTGCCATAGTCACTAGAAGAAGTGATTCTGAAGTGTCCATACTTAAGTAACTGCAGGTAAGCATATCTGAACTAAAAATATGCTTAGTCTCAACAGTAGGCTTATAGAAGTTTATACAGTTTTAAACTGTAGCTTACAAATTCTTATTAGGAATACCTACAGTTTATGATTTAATTATTTGTATAAGTAAAACTGTAAGGAGAAGCTTTTTTCCTAAACATGGGGCACGCAGGGAATTTCAAACTGTCAGCTGAAACTCAAAGAAAGTACATTATGTTGTAATGTGCATGAACCTCACAAACTACAAGTAAGTCAGTAGGAAAATGAATAAAGAACATTAAGAATTTTAGAATGGTCAAGTCAAAGTTCTATCTTAATTCCATAAAGATGCTGTGGAAAGCCCTGTAATGAGTAGTTTATGCTACTCATATATTAAATGTTACTAAGTTGAAACAGTTTGCCATAGAAGGTATACCACTATGGGAGACTGATCACTAATTTAGGCCAGTACTTAATTGCCGCTTTGGCAGTTACAGGTAGTTACTTTATATAAGAAAGAAGTTACTCTTTCACATGTGGTTGATTATGTTTGTGAAAAAATGAAGAATCAAGCCATGGTGAAATTTGTTCACTCTTTTTGGACCCATATCTTTGCCACTGAAATTATTAGAGTTTTGGGGAAGACGGACACAATACTTAAATAACTTTCAGTGGCAAAGTTAAGAAACATTTAGAA